AGTTAAAAATATAAAAAAGCATTTTTCCAGAATTCTCTTATCAGCCAAGATCCATTCAACTTCAGCAATGATTATCCCTCATTTCATAGGCTTTTCTAAATCTAGCTTGAATTTCTGAAAGTTCTCTATCAGTGCATTTTCCTGCCATTTAAAAATAATCTTCAGCAAGATTTTACTTGTTTGTGACACTAAGAATTTTTTTTAATAATTTCTGCACTCTGCTGGGTCATCTTTCATTGGAATGGTAACAAAACAGATCTCTTCTAGTCCCTTAGTCAGGTAACTGTCTTCCAAATGTCTTGGCATTGATAAGTGAGCACACCCAGAGCTGTATCTGTTTAAACATTCCAACTGCTATTTCATCAATTCCTAGGATCTTCATTTTTATCAATGCTTTTGTTCCAGCTTGTATATCTTCATTACCACTGTTTGGGTTTTTTTAATCATATGCTACTTCTGGAAATGGTTCCATTTTTCCTCTTTTTGATATCTATATATTCTTTTTTTTTGTCTTCCTGCATCATTCAATATTTTTTCCACAGAATCACTCAGTATTGCAACTTGAGTCTTGAATTTCTTTTTCAGTTCCTTCAGCTTGAGATATTCTAAGCTCAAGTCTTTGCACATTTCATAGTAATTTGTCTTCTTGAGTTGCCTTTTGAATCTTCACTCTTACTTCATCATTTCTTCCATTCCCTTTAGCATCACTACATTCAAACGCATGTCATAGTATCTTCTGATATCTATTTTGGTCTTTTCCTTATGACATTGTGCTTTCTGCTTTCTTCATTTAAGAAGTCATCCCACAGATAAGTCTGGTCTTCTAACATACAGATACTAAGCCAGACTATATAGTAGCATTGCTGCTGTTATGTGCCATTAAGCTGACTATACTCATAGTGATCCTACAAACAGATCTGAACTTTCACTTACTTTGCCCCATTCTCATGATCTCCACCATGCTCCAGCCCACAGTCACAGTCACTGTGTTAATCAATCTAGTTGAGGGTCTTCCTCTCTTTCACTGACCCTCCACCTTTCCCAGTATGATGCCCTTTATCAAGGACTGTTCTTTCCTGATAACATACCCAAAGTATGTGAGACAGAGTTTCACCATTCCTGCCTCTAAGGTACTCTCTGGTTGTACTTCCTCCAAAACAGACTTGTTTCTTGTTTGTTCTTTTGGAAGTCCATGGGACATTCAATCCAAGGGATGTTCACTCTTCTCCACATCACAATTCAAAAGCACCATTCTTTTGTCATCCTTATTCTCTGTCTTTCAGATGCATAAAAAGCAACAAAAAAATACTACGGCTTGGATCAGGTTCAACGTAGTCTTTAAACTGACATTGTTGCACATTATCACTTTGTGATAATGTCTTTGACATTAGATTTTCCAAGTACAACAGGTCTTTTCATTTCTTGATTATTACTGAAATGGATGAAGATTGTGGATCCAAATAAGATGAAATAATTTTTTTAAAAAATCCATCTTTTCTTCATTTATCATGATGTTGTCTATTTGGTCCAGTGGTGAGAGGTTTTGTTTTCTTAATGTTGAGACGTAATCCCAATACTGAAGGCTATACAGTCTCTGATCCTCTGCTGTAATTGCTTCAAGTCTTCTTCACTTTCTACAAACAGGTTGTGTCATATGCATAACACAAGTTGCTGTTGAAGAATCTTCCTCCAGTGCTGAGGCCACATTCCTCTTCAGAGAGTCCAGCTTCTCAAATCATTTGTTCAGCAAACAGAATGAATAGGTATGGCGAACATATATATAACTGGGACACGCATTTCCCGATTTTAAACCACACAGTATTCCCTTGTTCTGTTCAGACAACAGCTTCTTCGTCTATGTACAGGTTTTGCATAAGCACAATTATATATAATGGAATTTCCATTTTTCTCAATGTTAATCACAATTTTTTATGATCCACACAGTCAAATGCCTTTGCACAGCCAATAAAACATCTTTCTGGCATTCTCTGCTTTCAGCCAAGATCCATTTGACATCAGATGTGGAGTAGAGTAATAAGGAAGAAAGGCAGGAAGGTGAGAAAATAAATTTAATATAGAAAAGAGGAATTTAAGAGAACAATAAGGAAGAAGGAAGAGTGCAATAATATGGGAAAGCACAGACAAAAATGGAAGGTGGCAAAGAAAACATTCATATAAACACATGAAGAAATGCTCAAGATCAAAGTTCTGCCAAGTTCATGATGCAGGAAGGATGTAATTTTTGCTTAAGTAGAACATAAAATGCAGCTACGTATGGAGAGATGAGAACTCTCATACACTGCTAGCAGCAATGCTAAAATGGTACAACCATTGTGGAATGCAGTTTGATATTTACTTAGAAATATGGGATAGAAATAACATTTGATTCAGTAACTCAGTGTGTGTGTGTGTGTGTGTGTGTGTGTGTGTGTGTAAAATAACAGCTGTAACATAAACTAACATATAAACACTCACGTTTTACTGTAGTATTCACAATATAAAGGGCTGGAAATAATCCCATTGTTCATTAACAAAGGAATGGCTAAAAACTCTGGTTGTGAGATACATAAAAAAATGGAATATTATGTATTACTAAAAATGGTCAAGAATTTGTGAAATACTGCACAACATGAATGAATGAAGACCAAATTACGCTGACTGACATAAGTCAGTCACAAAAGGATAATTATGGTATAAAATCACTATTATAAAAAGTTAAGGAAAAGTTTACATACAGATAGAAGCAATCTTGGAGATTTAACAGGGATTAAAAGGAAAGCAAAAGGGAGTTAAAACGCCTAAATAAATTGAGTGAGGATAAAGGCAACACACAAGGAGACATTGATGAGACATGATGGCCTAGTGAGTAAGGAATTACACTCCCAACCAAAAGTCATGCAGTTCAAATCCACCACTTGGAAGAAAAATGGGCATTCTTCTCCCATGTGATTTGTAGTCTCTGAAGACTCACTGGAGAGTCAGTTATAAGCTGGTTCAACTTCATGGTAATGATTTGGAGTGAATCAATGGTAACTGATGTAATAAACAAAATGTTTATAAATGAGTGCATAAAAGTATTTGCAAAAAAAAAAAGTATTTGCAAACTTGCATAAAATAAAAAATCAATTTTTTAAAAAGAAGGTGGCAAAAAGAAAAGGAAAAACAAAACAGGCAAAAAGGGAGGAAATGGTAGTAGCAAGACTTCAGATTCATGAAATTCAACAGAAAGTGAGATGCAAAGTTTCATGTAAGGAGATTGAAAAAGTAGCAAAATTAAATCTAGATATAAATTATACGTTTCTCACTAACAAAAATATAGCATGTGGCAGAATACATTTTTCAAATATATCGCACTATGTCCTGCCTTGTATTTCCACTTATTCACATAATGACATTCTTCCTGAGTGGTAGAGCCTATGTTCCCTTCTCTTAAACTTGACAGACCTTTGTCACTGCCTAGATTAGAAAAGTGCACCATAAGGACACTATGGTTTCTGAGGGTTTTGTTGGTAGGTGATAGAATTTTGATCCTGACTCATGGTGACCCAATGTACAATTCAACCTGATCCTGTGTCATCCTTACATTCTCTGGTATGAAGCCATTTTTTGTTGTCATTGTGTCAACCTATCTTATTGTAGGGCTTCATCTCCTTCACTAACTTTTCTAAGCATGATGTCTTTTTGCAAAGACTGGCACTCTTGATAACATCTCAATGTATGTGAGAGGAAGTCTTTGCCAAGATAATTCAAAGTTATCAATTCTTTGTTATTCCTTATTGTCTAATTCTCACATACATATAAAGAAACTGAAAATACCATGGCTTGGATCAGGAACATCTTAGTCACTAAACTGACATCTTTGCTCTATCACTTTAAAGAGGTCCTTAACATTAGATTTGCCCAGTGCAACATATCTTCTGATTTCCTAACTGCTGTTTCCATGGGTGCTGATTGTGGATCCAGAGCAAAATGAAATCCCTGATAGCATCAATCTTTTCTCCATTCATCATGATATTGTCTATTGGTCCTGTTGTAAAGATTTTTGTTTTCTTAACGTTGAGGTATAATCTATACTAAAGGCTTTAGTCTTTAGTAGTACCATCATAAAATGCCATGCACTTCTGCCTTGTTCTCCTGTAACCCAATCACAATGTTATGAGGAAGTCCAGGCTACAGCGAGTTTCTAGTTATAGTCAGCCACAAATTCAAGCCTTTGGGATAACTTTAGCCCCACTCTTCATGTGACTGTAAATGCTTAAGAAACCTGGAACAAGAAACATAAGCTGCACACAGTCAACTATGAAATAATAGTAAAATGATTGTTACTCTTTCAAATAATTTCATTTTCGGGTGATCCGTTATGTAACAATAGAACTGGAACAAATATTACCAAAATTATTTTTATTTCCCCTGCAAGTATGACAATATAAACAATTTAAAATTTTAATGAAGATCCTACTCTGAAATTTTAATAAATGTGAGAGTGATTATCTTTGAATGAGACTGTGATATGCCATTTCTGGATCTGATAACTGAGTGCACCATGCATGCTCACTTCATGAAAATTTATCACACAATTTATATACTTTTCTGAAAGTATACCTCAATCAAAATTTTCATTAAGTTTATTAAAATAGTATGTGTACATTCACATGCAGAAATTCATGTAAATATTTATATTTTTATATACATACAAACTTAAGGCTAACCACATAGTCTATTCTCCAAAATAATAACAATGATTTATGTTGTTATAACAATGTTATGTAATGTTAAGATTATCAGTTATTTTGTCTTCAAGTTTCTCAAAAACTTTCCACAATAAATCTTTTACTATCTGAAAAAGTTTCAAATTTAAAAAAAAAAATCTTAGTATCTGTTGTAAATTTTCAGCTAGTATCTTAATTTAGAGTTATGCAAAACAATCTTATTTGAACACATCAAAGTAAGTAAGATACCTTACCAAATCCCAACTTAAAACAAAAACTTACACTACTTACATAAAACAGCCACGTTGCAATTCTGTTTCCTGTTCCCAACTCTTTGAAAGCATCTGGTTCATCTTTCTGGGAATAACACATAAAAGATTCAATGTTAGTATGAAATTCAGCAAAACAAACAAAATGCTGGATGAAGGGTATTGCCAAAACAACCCAAAGGTTCACTTTATAATATGGAGGCAATATATAGCCTAGGCATTCAAATTCTTGATTTTTACTTCAGTTTATGTAATGAATACTTCCTGTGGGGAAATGATTTGTTAAGCCTTGTTGTTAGGTGCTGTCAGGTATGACTCCTATCGACCCTATGAACAACCGACCTGAATCCTGCCCTACTTTGTGCCATTCTCATCATCTCTGACACACTAGAGTTTACTTCTGAAATCACTGTCAATCCCATTAAGGGTCTTCCTCTCCTTTGCTGACCCTCCATCTTTCCACACATGATATCTCTTTCCAAGGAATATCCTCACCCACATGACGAAAGTATGAAAGATGACGTTTTGCCATCTTTGCCTCCAAGGAGCACTTTGGTTGCACTATTTCCAAGACATATCTGTCTGTTCATTTGGCAGTCCCTCCTTCACACCACAACTCAAAGGCATCATTTCTTCCATCACCTTCATTCATTCTGATGTAAAGGGATCTCTGGTGGCCTAGTGGTAAGGAGTTGTGCCTAACGTAAGCCCTAAAGTAAGTGGTTCAAAGACACCTGCAGCTCTGTGGGTGAAAGATGGGTATTCCTCTGTGTGATTTGCAGCCTCTGAAAACCCTCTGGAAGGTCAGCTATGAGTTGGTTCTGACTCTACAGCAATGACTTTTTGTGTAGCCTAGGTCTATATAAATGTCTAATGGTATGATGATTTTCTTTCTTTTGGTTAGCCAGCATTTTAATTTCTTTTGAAAATTCCGATTGTTGTTGTTGCTGTTATGTGCCATCGAGTCACCTGCAACTGACTCATAGCGATCCTATGTGCAACAGCCCTAAACTCGGCTCTGTTCTGTGCCAATCGCACTGTCTCAAATACACCCATCCCAATTACCCCAGTCACTGAATCAATTCACCTCATAGAGGACCTTCCCTTCCTGCGCTGTTCGACCACCCTACCAAGCATGATGTCCCTCTCCAAGGACTGGTCTCTCCTTACAACATGTCCAAAGTATGTTAGATAGAGCCTCAGAATCCTTGCCTCCAAGGAGCCGCCCAGTTTAACCCTTTCCAGGATGAATTTGTTTGTTTTCCTAGTAGTCCATGGTACCTTCAATACTCTTCTCCAGCACCACAGCTCAAAGGCATCAATTCTTCTTCTATTCTCCCTGATCATTGTCTAGTTCTCTGATGTATAACAAGTGATAGCAAAGACCAGGGCCTGTAACAGACGCACCTTAGTCTCCAGAGAGACACCATTGCTCTTCAGTACTTTGGAGAGGTCCCTAACAGCAGACTTTCCCATGGCAATGCTCCTTTTTAATTTCCTGGCTACTGGTGCCAAGAGTGTTGACTGTAGAGCCAAGCAAACTAAAGCTGTGAACAATCTCAATCTCTTCACCATCCATTCTCATGCTGCCAATTGGTCCAGTGGTGAGAATCTTTTTCTTCTTGACATTGAGCCTCAATCCATATTGGAGGCTGCAGTCCTTGACCCTCTGTAGCAAGCGTTTCAGGTCCTCCTCAGTTTCAGCAAGCAGGGTTGTATCATCTGCATAATGCAGATTGCTGATAGATCTTCCATCAATCCTGACCCCACATTTCTCCTCATGGAGCCCACCCTCCCAGATAATCTCAGATAAATTCAGATTAGTAAAATTTAAATCTAAATTAAAACACAACATTAAAAAACAAATACACAAATAGAGCAAAGAGAGTCACTACTATTGAATCAATTCCAAATCATATCACATGGACTCCACAGGACACAACAGAACTGTCCCACAGAGTTCTGGAGACTGTATAAGCCAACTGCCTTATCTTTCTCCCTTGGCGTGGCTAGTGGGTGCAAACAGCCATCTATAATGCTTACTTCACACCACAGCTTCTCATAAAACACAGCACAGGCTCTTGGAATTTATCCCAGAAAAATGAACACATATTTTTCATACAGAAACTGTACTCAAGTGACCAGATCATCTTTCTCTGTAATATGCTCAAACTGGAAATAATCCAAATGTTCTTCAAAAGGTGAATAAACAATTAGCAATAAAAAGAGGTGATGTACACAATCTGGGCTGAAGAAATTACCTAGAAGAAATTGTACTGAATGAAAAAGAGAGACTCCCAAAGAATAAATACCGTATGATTTCTTTTCTAACATTTTTGAAATAACATAATTACAGAGAATGAGAACAGATTAGTGGTTACTAGCAATTGGGACTAGGGAATTGGAGGGTATGTAAATCCCTCAAGAAGTACCACAAGAGAGTTTTGTGCTAATGGTACAAATATCTGGACTGTGCTAGTAGTTACACAAAACTTTTCATGTATGGCTGTTACACACACACGCACCCCCCTGAAGAAATCAAAATAACTGTGGGATTGTACTAAGTCAATTTTCACCTTCCTGGTTTTAAATGAGAACTCTGTTGACCTAGTCTATAAAGCCTGTTGCATTGCTGACCAAAAGGTGGCACATTTCTAGTGGTTCGAATCCACCAGAGAGGTTCTGCAGGAGAAAGATGAGCAGTCCTTGACACTCTGCAGCAGGCAGGTCCTCAAGGACTGCAGCCTACAATATGGATTGAGGCTCAATGTCAAGAAGACAAAGATTCTCACCACTGGACCAATTGGCAGCATGAGGATGGATGGTGAAGAGATTGAGATTGTACACAGCTTTAGTTTGCTTGGCTCCACAGTCAACAGTCTTGGCACCAGCAGCCAGGAAATTAAAAGGAGCATTGCCATGGGGAAGTCTGCTGTTAGGGACCTCTCCAAAGTACTGAAGAGCAATGGTGTCTCTCTGGAGACTAAGGTGCGTCTGATATAGGCCATGGTCTTTGCAATCACTTGTTATGCATCAGAGAGTTGGACAATGACCAAGGAGGATAGAAGGAGAATTGATGCCTTTGAGCTGTGGTGCTAGAGAAGAATATTGAGAATATCATGGACTGATAGGAAAACAAACAGATTTGTCCTGGAAAGGGTTAAACCAGGTGGCTCCTTGGAGGCAAGGATCCTGAGGCTCCATCTAACATACTTTGGACATGTTGTGAGGAGAGACTGGTCCTTGGAGGAGGACATCATGCTTGGGAGGGTGGAGGGACAGCGCAGGAGAGGAAGGCCCTCTATGAGGTGGATTGATTCAGTGACTGGGATAATTGGGATGGGAGTGTCAGAGACAGTGCGATTGGCACAGGACAGAGCAGAGTTTAGGGCTGTTGTACATAGGGTCGCTATAAGTTGCAAGCCACTCAACGGCACATAACAACAACAAACAACATGAGACAGAACTTCATCATCCTTGTCTCTAAGTGGACAAGAGTACTCGGCATATGCATGTTGTTGCTGATTGCCTTCAAGTGTAGCAAAACTCCTAATGATCCTATGAACAAAAGGCCTAGAGACCTTCTACAACTACTGACATTTATCAAAGTTCATAGTTTCTGGAGGCATGTTGTTTAGGAAGTGGAGTGACTCCTGCTTTGGTATGCAGAAAGGATTTACGTCTATTTCACTCCAAATCAAGGGCTGATTAACTACATTCCGTGGGCCAAATCTAGACCACCCACCCATTTTTGTATGATCCACCAGGAAATAATGGTTTTCACATAACTAGGAAAAAACAAAAAGAAGTATAGTATTTAATGGCATATGAATATTATGTGAAATTCAAATTTTAGTATCTACAAAGTTTTTTTTAAACAACCATAAATTTATTTAAATACTGTCTGTGGTAGCTTTTGTTCTGCATCAGCAAAGCTGATTAGCTGCAATAGAGGGACTGTATAACCCTCAAAGCCACAGTATTAACTATTTGGCCCTTTATAGATAATGTCGATTCATTCCACTAGTAGTTAAAGCTTTCCACTGCTAACAAAAAGGTCAGTGATGAACCCATCAGCCTCCACTTGAGAAAGACGTGATAGCAGTATCACATAAAGATAACAGCCTTGAGCAGTTCTGTTCTCTGAGGGTTGCTGTGAATTAATTAACTCAGTGGCAACAAGTTCAATGGGATTTAAGCAAGTGAGCAGGGTCTGGGCTCCAAAACCCCAAGCAACCCACGCTGAAGCCTCTAAAAAGATTTCAGAGTATCTACATACCATGCTTCCACAATTATATGTAGCCTATTAATTTTTAAAACTAAAAGAACAGTATTAACATGATACCTAAACATCAGCAGGTTTCTTAAATCCTGCATCTCTTTTACTTACCCGTGCAAAGTCAAAATGGGGTTCATACTGTCCTCCTACTCCGTAATTTGCAACCTGAAAGAGAGAAACAAATACTGACTGAAAGAACTACTAATAGTTGCTGCTGTTGTGTACTGTAGAGTTGGAACCAACCCAGAACTAACCCTAAGTCAGGTTTTCAGAGGCAGTTTCAATTGCACAGGAGGAGACTGTCCATTCTCTACATATCTCTGAGCCCCACTCTGACCTCTCAACTATGATGGCTAGATACTTCTAGAGAATTGCTATTGCTGTTTGTCATCAAGTCAGAACCAACACATAACTGACCCTCCACAGAGTTTTCAGAGGCAGTAAATATCATGAGAGGAGTATGGCCAACCTTCTCCTACAGAGCAGCTGGTGGATTCAAACTGCGTGCCTTTGGGATTGCAGCACAACTTCTTATTACTAGGCCACCAGAGCTCCCAAGAGAAATGAGAAGATACTTAAAAATGAGATCCTAGGGGTATAGGGATTTAAAAAGAAAGTTATTTACTGGCTGTTAACTTAGAACTCTAATTAATGGGTTTTTTTTATCAAATATTTGGGGGACACCAAACTTAGAATAAAAATTTAATCATTTATTTTCATTAAAAATTCTCTTTTGGAATTTAAGTCAAGACTTATGCCTTCTAAACCTCCAAATGCTGGCAAATTACCAAATCTACTTTCACAAAATTCAAACTGAATGTTCAGGAAGTTATCAAGGAAACAGCTGACAAGAGAAGTCACAGCACCACTACTGCTGGAATAACTTTGGAAATGCAGCCAGAAGAACTTATTACTGTTGAGTCAGAACCAATTCATTCTGATCCTCCATTAAGTTTCCAAGGCTGAAAACTGCATGGAGGAGACTATTTTTCTCCATTGGAGCTGCTGGTGGATTCAACTGCCAGAAAGGCCTGGCCTTTGGATTAGCAGTGCAATTCCCTGAGGAATTCCCTCTCAGGGAAGAAAGTGAGGATAAACGTGACACAAATCAGAAAAATGACTGTGATTAAAAATAGGACAAAGGTACTGACAATACAATGCCAGCAAAAATCCTTCACAACAAAGGAACTCTCAGGTTTTTTTAACACTGAAAACTAGAAGGATAAAATGTTAGAGGCTGATTCAACTTTGAAAGATGAATGACACTTCACCAAGGTATTAAAATACTTTGTAGGTAGAAAGTATTGTTTAAATTACCTGTATTTTTATGCAAATAACAGGAAATCTCTACTTTCTACTTTTGTCTGCCAACTGCTCCCTCACCTAGGAAGTTGTTGAGGAAGTAAAAGCAGGCAAATACACACGAAGGCATGTGTTATTTGTGTAAAACATTGATACTCTTGATAAATTTTTACAAAGAAATAAAGTGCTTTAATTCTAGTACTTTTTATACTTTAAATTATAATGTAATTTCCAAAACTATTCAGTAGGAAATGAATAATCTTTCAGTATATGATGCTGAGGTCAACGGTTAGCCACTTGCAAAAGAATAAAGCAGGATGTCTATTTTAGAATATATATATTAACTCAAAATGACCAGAGACCTAAATGTATGAGACAAACCTATAAAACTCAAGTGTAAACATGTATAACCCTGGATTAAGCAAGGCTTTCTTGTTGTTAGATACCATCAAGTTGAGTACGACTCATAGTGATTTTTATTTTTTTACCCATAGCGATTTTTATGAACAGATCTGAACAACCTTGTCCTATCCTGTGCCATCCTCACACTTGCTTACACCCTAGAGCCAACTGCGGCAGTCCTGTGTAAATCAACCTGGTTGAGGGTCTTCTTCACTTTCACTGACCCTCTGCCTTTTCAAGCATCATGCTCTTCTCCAAAGAATAGCCCCTTCTAGCAACATACCCAAAGTATGTGAGGCAAAGTTTTATCATCTTTGTCTACAAAGAGCACTCTGGCTGCTCTTTCTCCAAGACACATTTGGTTTTGGTTTGGGTTTTTTTGGCAGTTCTGTACTATTCCCCAACATCACAGCTCAGATGTACCAATTCTTCTTCTGTTATCCTTTTTCACTGTCCAGCTCTCAGCTGCACAGCAAGTGATCGGAAAGACCATAGCATGAATCAGATGCACCTTAGTCCTCAAACTGGTGTCTTTACTCTTCAATAATTTGAAGAGGTCCCTGACTGCAGACTTTCCCTGAGCAATGTATCTCCTAAATTTCTGACTACTGGAAGCAAGGGTGTTAATTGCAGATCCAAGTAAGACAAATGAAGCTGTTGACAGGTTCAATCTTTTCTCCATCTATCAGATGTTGCCTATTGGTCCGGTGGTAAGAATTACTGTTTTCTTGATGTTGATGCGCAATCCATATTGAAGGATCTATTCTTTGATCTTCTGGAACAAGTTCTTCAAGTCCACCTCACTTTCAGCAAGCCAGGTTGTGTCATTTGCATAATTCAGGTTATTGACGAGTCTTCCACCAATCTTGATACCACATTCCTCTTCACAGAGCCCAGCTTCTCAAATAATCTGCTCAGCATACAAATTAAATAGGTATGGCGAGAGAATACAGACCTGTATTATCCTAGTGCTTTCTTAGATATGGAGAAAAGACTAAAACTGTCAATGATTTCATCTTGCTTGGATCCAAAATAAACACCCTTGGCATGAGCAGTAATGAAACAAAAAGGTGTGCTGCATTGGGAAATCTGCTGTCAAGAGCCTCTCCAAACTACTGAGGAACAACGATGTCAATATGAAGACTAAAGTGCACCTGATTCAGGCTCTGGTCTTTTCAATCTGTGGCTATGTGTCTGAGAGCTAGAATACAGATGACAGAAAAAGAATTGATGCCTTTGATTTGTGGGGTGTTGGAGAAGAATGGTTGTAGTCTTCTGCATTGTACTTCAACTCTTCTTCACTTTCTGTAAGCAAGGTTCTATTAGCTGCATATGTAGGATGTTCATGAATCTTCCTCATATCCTGATGCCTCATCTTCATAGATTCCAGATTCTCAAATTATTTGCTCAGCATACAGATTGAACAAGTCTGAAGAAAGATAGTACTCAGGCACACCCATTTCCTAACTTTAAACCATGTAGTGTTCTCTTGTATGGTTCAGAAAACTGCTTTTTGGTTTAAGTAAAGGTCTCCCATGAGTGCAATTAAGTGTTCTGTGATTCCCATTCTTCTCAATGTTAGCCATAATTGATCATAAATGATCATAAATGATCAACACAGCTAAATGTCTTTGCATAATTGAAAACTCCAAAGTAAACACCTTTCTGCTACTCTCTGCTTTTAGCCAAGATTCATATGACACCAACAATTATATTCCTCATGCCATAGCCTCTCCTGAATCCAGTTTGAATTTCTGGAGGTTCCCTGTTAATGTACTCTTCCAGCCATTTTGAATAATCTTCAGCAAATGATATTAAAGATACTGTTTGGTAACTTCTGCACTCTGTTGGATTACCTTTTTTTTTAGAATGGGAACAAATATGGTTCTATTTGCCAGTACATTATCTTCCAAATTTGTTGGCATAGACTGGTAAGCACATCCAGGGCTATGTTTCCTAAACTGTATCAACTGGTATTTCCTGGGCCTTTTTTTTTTCAATACTTTATTTAAAAATGGAAAATTCCCTTTTTTCCCTTTTAATTGTTTAAGAATGTTAAATTTAGGTATACAAAAATAATAACTGCTTTTTTTAATTGTTAGTTGACATTTTTCCCTTTTTTAAAAATTATAATCAAAGTTTAGAGAGACTTAGGGTTTCCAGTCATTCATTGTTGCACTTTTCTCCCTGCTCACGCCCCCCCCCCCAATTCACTCTTCTCCTTGAAAAGAACAAGTCTTTCATTGTTATATAATCCCTCTCTCCAAGTCCACTCCACTAATGAGGCTTCACTCTGGACTTCTATAATGACAAGAATACCCATTCATATATCCCTTTTAAACAGTTCTCTCGCTCATCTGTTTCAAGGCAATATACATCATTCCTCCCCTCCTTTTCTGTCTTCCCTCAACCTTGATGTTAGTCCCGTTTTACAACAGTGGCCTTATGCAATATCTGTCTTTTTGTGACTGAGATATTTCACTCAGTATAATGTCCTCCAGGGTCATCCATTTTGCATAATATTGCATGAGTTCCTTGTTTTTCAATGCTGCATAGTATTCCATTGTGTGAATATACCAGACCTTCTCTATCTATTCATTTGTTGATGAGCGCTTGGGTTGTTTCCAGATCTTTGCTATTGTGAACAAGGCCACAACAAACAAGTGTGTGTATATCTCTGCTTGGGTGGTTGTTATGGTTTCTTTAGGGTAAATTCTCAGTAGTGGAATTACTGGGTCAAATGGTATTTCTATTTGCAACTTTTTGAGAAAGCACTATACAGCCTTCCATAGTAGTTGCACCATTTTACACTCCCACCAACAGTGAATAAGGGTTCCAGTTTCTCCACAACCTCACTAGCATTTGATGTTTGCTGTTCTGTTAAATTTTGCTATTCTTACTGGGGTGAGATGATATCTCATAGTTGTTTTGATTTTCATCTCACTTAGAGCTAGGGATTTGAACATTTCTTCATGGGTTTGTTTGCCATCTGAATGTCTTCTTTGGTGAAGTGTCTGTTCATATCCTGTGCCCAACTGGGTTGTTGACATTTATCTCGTTCTGATGCCCAAGTAAGTATTTTATAAATTTTATATATAAGTCCCTTATCAAACATGTAATTACCAAATATTTTTTCCCATTTTGTGGCTTCCCTTTCTACCCTGTTGGAGAAGTTTTTGGAAGTGCATAGGGATTTGATTCTTAGAAGGTCCCATTCATCTATTTTATCCTCTCCTGGTTGTAGCTTTTTCTGGATGCTTGGAAGACTATTTATGTTGTGGATTAGAACTTCTAGAGTTCTTCCAAGTTTTTCTTAATGAAATTTATAGTCCCTGGTTTTAGTCCTATGTCCATAATCCATTTTGAATTGGTTTTTGTGTATAGATTGAGATATGGATCTTGCTTGAGTTTTCTGAAGATAGTTTTCCAATTTTGCCAGCACTATTTGTTAAAAAG